CACGAAGTCCTACGCTCGACAAAATCATGTCGTCCAATACGCGACTACATAAGTCCGTTTCCACAAATGGATGCCTCCCCGACGCCCTGAACCCAGTGGTCTTCCTCAAACCAATTGCGCGGCCACTCTTCAAGCATGTCGACCCGAGGTATGAACATGGCGAGCCGCACCATGAAGTCCACGGCCACGACCATGAACATACCGGGTGCGATCATGAATCAGGCGCCCCGGATCATGAAGACCCCGGGCAGCTCTGACGTTTATCACCTAAAACTACGAATGTGCCGGCCACAAATATGCGTTTGCCGGTCCTACGCATGAATACGTCGGGCTAAACACGAGTTTACCGGGCTAATCCCACGCACACGGTCCTAAAACATCTACAAATTCCAGGAATCATGCATTCTAAACGGAAAAATGAAGAAAGTAGATCACTCACTTGGATCAAAGTGTGGGATCTGGCTACGAAGTGGAAGAATCTGTGACGAGAAGTCGCAACTGGAGAGCGTCTGGAAGAGCAGCAGCAGAGAAAGCGGAGAGCAGAAAACGTATTATGGGGCCCAAGGTACCTATTTATAGTGATGACGTGGAATACCAAACGTCACCTCGGGCAACCACGGACTCCATCTCCTCGACGCGCTGCTCCCAACGCAATGATGGCCCTACCCCCATAGGGTGGCGGCACGGTTCCCGAAAGATACCTCGTGTGCTCACCGACGCGCCCGGTAAGGATCCTCCGCGCATCCACCCCCGAGGACGTCTCCGAGCACGACCCGAGGAAGCCCCTCGAGGGCCCACGCCTCTATCCCGGGCACGAGACCTCAACGAGGGAATAACTTGGATTCAAGTCATGGCTCCTCGCAAAGGAACCACGACTTGGGGGGCTCCTGTTCTGGACTGGGCCCGACAGGCCCAAAGGCATTGCTAAGGCCCAGTCCAAAGGGACTTACTAGGGACCACGCCGAGCAAAGGAGTCACATCCGTGTCCGACATCCTGATGTCCAGCTCGACATCCGCTGTCCAACTCCACGTGATGATGTCCAGCTCGACACCCTGACGTCCGGCTCGACAACCTGCTGCCCAGCTCGACATCCTGCCGTCCAGCTCCACACCCTAACATCCAGCTCGACACCCTGCTGTCCAGCTCGACGTGGGCTCGAGCAACCCAGCTAGGGCAGACTCAGTCCACCGTTCCCCCTACGATACTCCGGAAAGACCGCGTCTTCGTCCGCCCGCACTTCACGCAGCACATCCAGGAAGGGGACCACGTGCGGGTCCCCACTACCCACGTAGAACCTGGCAGTTCCTCCATTGGGCCAAATCCGCCCGGCCCAATGAAGGGACCTTGGCCCAGCGCTGGGGGCTATAAATACCCTCTGTTTCCAGAGAGTCAGGTATTCATCATTCTAACCTCAACTTACTATTATCTGCTCGTACTCCTACTCACTTCAGCATCGGAGTGTCTTGCAGGTACCCCCCCCACCTCGTCAAAAAAGCTTTCTGCTCGGAGCCAGCCGTGACGGTCCAAACCTTCTGATCAGGTCAGATCAAATTGTAACATAATTTCCACAAAAAAAATCGTTACCTGTGGATGTTTTTGTTGATTTTTTTGTTAATAAAAAAGTTTAATGGTTAATTTACTACTTTATAGGTGAATAAGATGTTTATGATGAATATGGAATAGATACGAGTTATGTATTTTTTAATGGATTTTTAAAAGTTTGAAAGTTATTTTTTATTTTTAAATCACCTTTTAATAAAAAAAATCAAGTATAAAAAAAGCTTTTTTAATAGGATTTTTAGTTATATCTAATTCATATTTTACTTTTTTTTTGAATATTTTTTTAAAGCTATAAAATATGAAAGAAATGATTTATGGGAGAGATTGAGATTATGAATTTATGCAGGGGTACCAAATTTATTTTGTGGGGGTAGCTAATAAATTTCTCATACTTTCCAAGTTAAACAACTAATATAATGGGGGCATTCAAAATCCTAAATAATTTAAACAACTATATCATGTATCTATTATTAAATTGGCTCAATGCTAATTGCTGACATCGTTACTTTGGATCATAATCTATCAAAAGTAATAAACCTTTTTCAATTTTTGATCAAGAGAAAGCAATAACCTAATTTTTGTGGCTTGATGTCGTTTTAATTAGGTTTTGTTAGGTATTTTCACCATCTGGTTTATAAAGTTGTTTTTTAAAATAAAAAATAATAATTATGGACTTTGAGTAACGTCCACCACCTTTATATATCAACTAATTTAAAATTATCCCTCTTAAAACAAATAAGTTATTTAATCTATGAATCCACACATATTAAAATAAAAAATACCGATGAAGTTTTAGATCAAACTTTAGTATTTCAATAGAAATATGTTATTTGATTCGACAAAGATTGATCATGTTATTAAAATTGATCACATGTTGATGTCGAAGCCATATATGATGTAGTTGAAATGTAATCTAATATACAATAGTCGATAATGCTAAGTTTGTTAGCATGTCAATTTGATATGTGTTTAAGATAGTTTGTAACTTAAATTAGTTAGGTAGTCTATAAATAGACTAGTTTTCTCATATTGTTAAGAGAAATTGATTGTTATTATTCACTTGTAATTCGTAAACTCTAATAGAAAAAACAGATAGAAAAACCGTTATAAATCATCTTAATTTTCTTCTTCTTCCTCCATATTCTCTCTCTTTTGTAAAAATTTAATAAATTTTTTGTGTTTATTCAAAAAACTCATACTTTCAATTTGTCTTTGATAGTACTCCATTACAACAATATCAATACCTTAAATAATATATTTTATGGTTAAATATGTTTTTTGTCCTTACAAAATTATTATGTATGTAGTTTTAGTCCATGTTGTTAAACCAACATGTATTTTTTAATAATTATTTTGTGAACATGTTTAAAATATTATAAAAAGTTCTTTAGAAAAAAATAAATTCAAATTTTAATTTGTAAGTCGAAATTTTCATTATTTTTATCAATATCTTTTGAAATTAAAAAAAAAATTATATTTAATTCTTCTCATTTTAAAAAATTCTAAAATTTAATAAAGAAATATTCTATAGTATTCTAAACACGTATAAAAAATATTATTCAAAAATTTAAAAGTTTAAAGATAATTAAAATTTTAGAAAATAACAGGGATTAAATTTGAATGAACAAAATTTTTTTAATAACTAAAATTTATCATTTTTTTAATAAAAATTAAAAATAAAATATAAGATATTTATAAGTATCAAAAACATATTTAACCCAATATTTTATAACAGTTACAGAAAATTGACATATAATTAATAGATGAACCATACTATTTTATCCAACATATAAAAAATGTAACCTAAAATCAATATAGACAACATTTTATGCCTGTTACCAAATATATATAGCCACTTCGAAAAAATGTGTTTAAAATATTATAGGGGACAATTTTAAACAGTAACATTAAAATTTCTTTAGCAACTTTTCTTTTAATAGGATAACATATAAAAAGAAAAAATGGATTACAGAATAAAAGAGGGACCAAATCAAAACCCTCTCAAAATAAGCAAACTTTAAGAATGATAATTTTAGCTTATTTTTTACAAAATCAACTTTAATACTCAAAGAAAGACCTACGTTAGCAAGGACATCTGCACCACTATTCCCTTCTCTAAAAATACGAGAAACTACTTAATTCCACTTAGAAACAATACTGATACAATTAAGCCATCTATTTCTAATCCACCAGAGAACATAATAAGGAAGACTGAAAGCTTTCATCACCGCCTTCAAATCCGTTTCCAACCAATTAAACAAAATGTCAATTCTGCTCATGAGTGAACTCAATAGCTAGCATAGCTCCCCAGAGTTCGTCAATGAGCGAATTAGAGACACCTAAAAAAGAAGCCAACGCACTCCTAAAAGAATCACCATTATATCTAGCAATGACTCCAGAAGCCGAAGATCCCGAAGGAGTTTGAGAAGCTCCATCACAGTTCAATTTAATCCAGTTCATTGGAAGAGGCTACCAAAAAACCTCCAAAATATTCGGGGCACGAGGCGGGCAGATAGAAACCTTAAATCTTTTAAGGATCTCGAAGTCCCACATAGAAAGATGAGAACCAACCACGATAGTGTTACCGGCTATGGAAGTCACAGACAAAATATAATTAGAAGAAGAACTAAATGTAGTAATGGTGTCATTAAATCTAACCAGATTCCTAGCCTTCCAAATCGCGTTGAGCGTGAAAATGGTAACGACTTTAATGATGAGAATAATATGATTTGTATCTACTGTACCAACTAACTTCCAAATATCTGGCCAGCCCTGTATTGAGTAATTGATGTTGAGCATATCTTTAATCCAAATTCAAAGCTTAGAGGCATAAGATACTTCAAAAAAAAGATGTGATTCTGATTTCTCCGCCAAACCACAAAGATCGCATCTAGAGGGGAAGGAGAAACATCTTCTTTTCCATTGATCATCCGTCGAAGACTTTTGATAAATTAAACGCCACACCATAAAGCTCAAACAATATTTCTTGAATCTAAATTTGTTCATAGGTTATGATGTCGTACTTACCATTCCATTGCTCTACATCTTTGGAAGGTTTTCTCAGTGCAAGTGCTTTTCAATGAATAGGAACTACAAAAGTTATCAAGGAAGAACCCTGAAACATATGGAAGGTTGCCTATGCCATCAACTTCAACTTACCTATGGCATATAGGCTCTGAATATAAGCAAAGTATTTTTCAGAGATGCATGCATATTCTTCATATAAAGTGCAAGGTACCCAGGATGGAAGAGTGGTGGAGAGTTTGGAATGATTAGTTTTAGTGTCGGGCAGGACGATCTCTACTGAGGGAGGAATAGAAAATTTAAACCTTTTGTTCAACCCTTCTTCCTATACAAGGCCCTTGTCCCAAATATATTTTTTGTTATCCCTGACCAAAGAAGTAGACCAATCATTGGACTTCTTGCTCTGTCTTTCGGACTACGATTGGTCCTCCTCAAGATGATCCAGTTGGGAGAGGGTGGGAAGAAAATCGTCAATGTAAATATGAAGCTTTTCCGTTGTCTCTTCCACTTGAGTTAGAGTAGGCTTAATAGGAGGAGTTTGAAGCACATCAGTTGTTGTCATGTTTTTCTTCCACGTGATGAGATTCCTGACAGACTCCATATTATCTACAAGGAAAAAACAAGGAGAATATTAGTAAGTTGTTATAAGAACATAAAAAATATTCTATTAAATTAAATATTCTCTTGTCATCAAAGAGTTCCCTTCAATCCTAAACAGTGTCCTCATCCATAATTGCATGAGTATCAATAAATTGTTGGTTTCTCATAAAGAGTGGCATTTGAGAAGGTCTGAATTCTTCATTATAGCCCAATCACTCCTAATAGGCTTTCAAATATCCTTCTGTAGTATCCTCCTATAAGGTCAGAGAGTCTGAAGGAACAATATAAGTATTTGAGTCCCAACTTAACTGGTTTTGAGCGTAGTATTTCGGGATCTCTTCCTTGCAGTTAGCTGGTTCCAGATCCGAGAAGCAAGGTTCAAAGACTACAAAAAACCGAATGAAAATTTGGGGTATAAGGGGTCATCAAAAAGTAATTATCCTTAATTTCTTCCAACTTTCAAGGTAGACATGTAACAATTTTCATATTTGACGTAGTGATACTAGAACACATCCCCGTTTCCCTTTTAATGAAGTATAATTGATGATCAATATGTCAAATAAGAGATTTATGTAAGGCTCATAATCTTGATATTCTAATTAGTGTTAGTACATCCTAACAAAGGCCCAAGTCACCATAGTTAATATAGAAGGGGGAATCCTTATATGCTTAAGTACCCCCTCCTCAAATCAATAAAAGTCAATCTGAGTTTGTAGAGCACCCTTTAAAAGAGCTGAAAGTACCTTTATCGACTTTAACATGAGAAATCAACAGGTCGAAAGAGTGACCCACCTTCGTGCAGGCCTCTTCCATCCTAGCAACATTACCGTAGTAGGAAATCGTCCCCTATAAATTTGCGTCCACCTAGAGGTATAGTTCAACATTAGATGGTAGTACATAAACTTCACGATCTCGAAGAACCATGCTTGCATGACCGTCATGTAAAATATAATGTTGGTCAAGAACTGCATAATGGTTTTGAAAACTAATATGAACCATAATTTATATGTCAGCAGGGTCCCGACCATTTGTATCCCTAAAAGATCTCACTAAGTAATACGTCCTATGTTCATCTGGAGCAATTATGCTTGAATCTGAAAGAGGTCGAATAGAAGAAGAAGGATCGACAACTATAAGTTGTTGTAACCGTAAAAAAATATGGGAGTCACCACCATTATGTTTTATCCTAAGGATAGGGAAATAACGGGTAACTTTAATTCGTACAGAGATTCCAAATTCATAAGTCAATTAGACGAAGGAAAGTTGTTAGGCATCCTTCATCTCCCTTGTTCTCAAGGGGATCCACTTTTAGGTTTAAGAGTAAGATGAGAATTTAATAGTTAATGTTTCTATATATTTAAGAAAATAATTTTAGTTTTTCATTTATGAACTCGCCTTGGTTTTAGCGGCATGCCTGCGCGCCTCCTTGCGAAGAATTGTATTAGATAGTAGCAGTATCGTTATCGGTGAGTTTAGAGGTGGATCTGCATATTTTATCATATTTTGGTGCTTTTTAAAAAATATTGCCATTTGAAAATAAAAGAGAAATGGAAGAGAAAGACATGAATCTTAATTAAATGCAAAACATAACTCTTATTAATTGAAAATACTGTTTGAAAACAAATGGGGGACCTTACAAGCTACACCTATGCCTCGGGCATGACATAGGTTCTTTTTAAAATAGAAAAATTACTTTGGAAAGAAAAAGATCTCTGGAATCTTCACAATTGTCCAATTCTTGAACTCTTTATCTGGAGCACATTCTCGGATGAAATTGGATGCTCCTTTGGTGTTGCTCTTGTTGGATATCATTGCCACTTGCCCACCATGCTCTACTCCTTTGCTGACGAAGGTTTCCTGGATGGGAGGAAATTTCTCGTTGCCTTTCTGAATAGCCTTTAACGGTTTGTAGCCCAACCTAAAACGATCTTTCTTACCAGGTATCTCCATAAGCTTACCCCAACCTTTTGATGTACGAACCTTCACAGTTGTTTGTAAGTTTCTCCATGAAGTCATGGTAGTTCCCGGTTTATTGATTTTCTCCACTAATAGGGTTACCATTGAAGCGACTTCTAGGACATGGAATGGTGTTGCCACACAGTCTTCTTCCATAATGATATATTTGTAGGACTCTAAGTGGCTTACAAAGATGTCCTCTTCTCTGTCGATCACAACTAACTTTTCTTCAACAAGGAACTTCAATTTTTTATGCAGGGTTGAGGTAATGACCCCTGCTGCATGAATCCAAGGTCACCCGAGCAGGCATGTTTTTGCTGGTTCTATATCCATCACCTGAAACATAATGTAGAACATTTGCGCGCCGATCTTAACAGGCAGACCCACTTCTCCAAACATTGTTCTTTGAGAACCATCAAAAGCTTTAACCACCATAGAGATTGGCCTTATGACAACATCTTCTATTGTTAGCTTCACTAAACTAGCTTATGGTAGTACATTGAGAGAAGAGACAGTATCGATGAACACCATGGATAGGCTAGTTGTCCCTATATGGATGGAAATATGCAACACCTTGTTGTGAGCTCTACCTTGTGGAGGTAAATCACTATCATTGAAGCCCATGCATGATCCTGATGTCAGATTGGCTACGACTCCATCAAATTGATTTATTGTAATCTCCTTTGTAACATGAGCAGAAATCTGAATTTTCATTAGAGAGTCTCGGTGCGCTTATGAATTAATGAGCAACGTGAGAATTGAAGTCTTGGTCAGGGTTTGGTGTAGTTGATCCACCACCCTATAGTAACTTTACTTGATTATTTTTAATAATTCTTCAGCCTCTTGATCGGTGAAATTATTACTTGAAGGTTGTTGCTCTTAACTTGTTTCTGCCACAACTTTTCCTTTATCCTTAACCAGGACATTATCCTTCTTTTGTTGCTCGTGAACATATATTCGACCGTTGCGGGTCATGCCCCACGTTCCTGTTATATTTGTAATTGCAGGCCCTTGGCTCGTTGATGGTTCACGTTCTTGTTTTAAACCATTGACATAGACAGTGGTATCATAATTCCACGACATAACTTTTTCACTTACATAAGGAGTGAGGGATGGTCCCCTAATCACCATCGTAGTCTTTGGAAGCATTGGTATCCTCACAGTTTGTCCTTGGTGTGGTATCATTACTTGTGTCTTTGTTATACATGGCTCCCCATAAGGAATTACAAGAGTTTTCTTGACAAAACTTGGCCCTTGGCAAGGAATCACCAATGGCTTCTTTGCATTCCCACCAATTGCAGCTACACATTCTTCTTCGGGGTATCGCATGGATTGGACTATCCCTTGATCCACCAATTTTTTTAAATTCTTTTCAAAAGCGTCATTATGTTCCAAGAGGAAACTATATTCATACAAATGTTCCTTCAGGATATCAATTGGAGTTTTTACTCATTTAGCTACCCCATGGTCAGTGACTATCTCAATTGCATTCACAATTGGCCCGCCATGTTGGGGCATGGGGTTTGTCTTGATATTAGGCTTATCAAAATTAATTTCTTGGGAGTCCAAAAAATCTTCCACCTTATGTCTGAAGGCCCAACATTTCTCTATTGTGTGACCTGGATAGTTGGCATGATATTCACACTTGGAATTTGCATTATATTTTGGCGGGAGTGCCTCAATTGGAGGAGCTAGTGGCTTCAGCTCCACTAAATACGCCTTGAGTAAATGTTGTAGTAGTTGACTGTGTGGCATATGGAGAGGATCAAATCTTCTTGGAGGCCTTTCAAGCTTGTTTTGTTGTTGTTCTCATGAGATTACCAATGGTTGTTGTGCTTTAGGGTGTTGTCCTTCCTTGTTTTTTGAGAAGTTAGGAACATGTTTTTTTGAATTATAAGGAGCGATGGGTGATGCCCCTTGTATTTTACCGCTCTTCACACCTGCTTCAATTCTTTCACCAATTTTCACCAAGTCTGAGAACCCCGAAGAGATGTTGCCTACCATTTTATCATAGCATAGACCTTGTAGAGTTCCCATTAACATGTCGAACAATTCCTTTTCCAGGAGTGGTGGTTATACATGGGCTGCCATTTCTCTCCACCGTTGAGCATACTCTTTGAAAGACCTGTCTTTATTTTGAGATAAGTTTTGAAGTTGCATGCGATTAGCATCCACGTCCAGGTTGTACTTGTATTGCTTTAAGAAAGCTTTAGCAAGATCTGCCCATGTTTGGATATGGACTCACTCCAACTGCATATACCAATCTAGGGATGCCCCATTCAAGCTGTCTTGAAGCAATGGATCATCCATTTCTGATCATGAGCATAGGCATGCATTTTTCTGCAGTACATGAGTAAGTGGTTCCTTGGGCATGTGAGTCCCTTATATTTTTCAAAGTCAGATACTTTGAATTTTAGAGGGATTACTACATCTAGAACTAGACCCATTTCGAGAGAATCAACGTCGAAAGCATATTAACCTTCCACAACCTTCAATCTTTCTTCAAGGGCTTTATATTGGTTGAGTTCCATAGGATTTTCAGCATCATTAGCATGAGTTGTCTTTTGAGGCCATTGATTAATGCCTTCCAAGTCACGGTCTCCATACTGCAGGTCTATGTAGTTATTCACATTGTGCGGATTGTTGACCGAGATCTGCAAGGTATGAGATGCTCCTACTTTTGGAGGAGGTGGGATAAAGCCTTCAACACTAGCTTGGTTGATCTCTTATTGAAAAACAATTGACTTCAAAGGCCCTGATTCTGGATCTTGTCTTGGTTTGTGACCGCTCGATGCACCAATGGTTTGGGCTAATTCTTCAAAGGCTACCTTAGGAATCTGATCTTGTCTTTCTATGATGTTCTTCAAGACTATAAGAACTTGACTCATGTCTCCTTTCGTTAAGTCGATGCTTCCCTTCACTTGCTCCAAATCTTCTTGGAAGACGGCTTGATTCTGCTTGATTTGTTCCATTACTTTCTTTTGATGATCGCTGGTTTGATGTGGAGGTCGGAAAGGTGGTACACGTTTACCAATGATTTAACTGGAGATGATATGAAAAAAATTAGTTTTTGTATGAAATATGAAATGTGATGCTTGTGCTCGGATGAATGCGTATGAATATGCTAAGATTTTAATTTATGTCTTATTCACGTTGGATTTCCTTTTGTTACTATTATTTTTGCATGTGTATATATGTTTTCCAGGTTTTGCTTTTTATTGGTGAGTATCCCAAAAAAATACACAATGAAATACAGAAACAAAAGTACATTTATTGAATAATAATCATCCTTGAAAAAGGGAAATACACTCCAAATACCGAAACAAATACTGAATGGAAAATATTGAAAGGGAAACACTGAATCAAATGTCAAATACTGAAAGAAATAATAAAAAGGGAAACTAAAATCTCCTAAGTGCGCTTGCGGATTTCTGCTCTGAAACTGTCAACCATTCCCCTACAAAGCTTGAGGAAGTCTTCAACGTCCTTCGAAAGAGGGACCATTAAGACTTCTGGATCTCTCAAGCTTCTAGGAATGTCACCAATGAGATTATTCGCCAAAAACTAAAGCTTTGCATGCTTGTCTTTGTACCTCGGATACTCCTTGTATAGTGTCGGGATTATGATCTTATTGTCTTCTCCCGCTTGAGAAATCTTTGTATAATGTTCTTCCCAATATATGTTTTCAGCCCTCATCTTCTTATAGAGTTCCCTTTGTATGAGGAAATCCTTTCGGAGGCCTTCTAGCTCTTGACAAATATGTTCATACTCTTCTGTCTTTCGAGAGAGAATTTTTTCTACCCTCATCTTCTTGAAGTGGTAAAGCGGCAAGCAAAAAGTACTAGGTATTTTATTAC